AATTGTTTTAGCTTTAGGGAATCGCTCCCTAGAATGAGGAAATTGCTTCCCCTTAAGAATCTTGTATGTCCAATAAACGAGGTCTCAGTTTTGCCACCAGCAGACTGAGTCCCTCCTGTCCCCACACTGTCTCTCTTCTATTTCTCGTCTCCCTCCCTCTCAGTGACCCATTTGGTGAGCTCCTGGCTGACGAGCCAGGGGCGTTTGGTTGAGCGAGCTGGTCTTGTTCACTCCCCATGGCATCTCAGGAGCCCTGGGGATCGTCTGGGGTGGGGGGGGCTGAGCGGAAGGAGTGGTGGGCCTTGAAAAGGGTGATGGTTCCAGCATGTGATCAAGGAACTTGAGGAACCACATGGATGGCTGCGGGGCTGCGTTTCAGGCACATTCCTGAGCTCTGAAAGGAGAACTAAAAGTGTTCCCTTGTTTTTGAGCTGAAGAGACAGCAATATTGTGGTGTAACTAGGAACAGATGGGCTTCAGGAATTTCCAAGGGCCTTTGAGAGTGTTAGACAAAATAGCCTCCCAGCCACACACCATAACTTTGTCTGGCCGCCTGGGTATCGGTTACCGAGACGACCGGCAGGCTGCACACACTGGCTGGAGGGTCCCAGAAGGGAGTGGGCCTCTGGCTGGGCCCCTGGCCACTCCCCCTGCCCCAGCAGGAACCCCCTTCGCTTGTGACACCATCTCCAGAATTCCAAGACCATGGCACACACTGAGAATCTCACACTCAGAGTCAGAAAGGGGGTGGGAAGTCTCAGAAGCTGCCTGGCCAGATCACCCCCGATGCTCAAACCCTCTGCTACCATGCCTTTGGGAGAGGTGACAACCATGGGCACCCAAAGTGGAGCACACAGAGGCTCAGGGCCAGATTCTGGGGTGAGCCAGGGAGCATACGCTGACTGGGTGACTGACCCTCCTTGCACCCCGTCCTCATGTGCACACACACTTGTGTGGAGATGAAGCCAGAGCCTGAACTGTGCCTGAACCTGGAAGCACTGCCTTGTGTTGGCTGCCATTATGATGACCTTTGGACAGCTCTGGTTGTGACAATGTCCTGCTGTATTCCTACCTGAATAATATTATTAGCCAATACTGAGCACTCACCTATGCCAGGGCACCTAATGGGGGAAGGCTGAGGCCCAGGGCAGTGATTTGCCTCACTCAAGGCCACACAGCAAATCCAAGCTCTAACCACTGTGCAAAACTGCCTCCCATGGCCCATCCCTGTGCAGAGCAAGGCTTCCTGGCTCTCTAGGTCTGTTTCACCATCTGTACAACAAGACAGTAGACAGTGAGCCATGAGGGCCCTTCCCACGCTCACTCTCACCCTAACTGTCCTCAGATGACTCAGATACCATATGGCAGCCCCACTTGCATTGTCTCACGAAGTCCTCTGTGGAGGGAGCAGCAAACCTCAGAGAGGGAAGGCCACCTCCCGGGGTCATTCTTCAGGCCAGTGACAAGGGTAGGTCCAAACCCAGGCTGGCCAACTCCAAAGCCTGCGTCATTTCTCCTGAGGCCCTCCAGCAGAGATCCTGGCGCCCAATCACCCTAACAGTGACAAGGGAATGCAGAGAAAACTGGGGCAGTGGCAGAGATGGCGCTGCCACTCAGCTGGTGCAGCCTTGAGCAAGTGCCGTGTGCCTCTCTGAGCCTGTTCCCCATTCTGTAAAGCGAGGCTCCAGATGCCGACCCAGGGAGACTGCTGCGAGGATAGAGCGAGAGCAGGCAGGGTAGCGCAGCTGCTGCTGGGATGGCTCGGGGGTCCTCTCACTGATGCCCCCATGGCCCCGCCCCACCTCCCAGAGCTCCAGTGAGAAGGGCGAGGGGTGAGGGGAGAGAGCAGGAGCCTGGGACTGCCAGGCTGCCAGGCTCCTTACCAGTCCCCGCTGGGCTTCACTTTCCCCACTGACAAATTGGCAATGTTGACCACCAGCCCTGAGCCAGGATTCCAGCAGGCCTCCCACGAAGGACAGCCTGCCCTCTCTTTCGCCTCAGCACCCCCAGCCAGCTGCAGTGGCATGAGGCTGGGCCTCTGTGTGTCGACAGGACGAGCAGGTGGAACAGGCGGCCCCAGGGGCCCTTGGCACTAACTGTAAGCACACCAACCCGTAAAGCACTTCTCAGCCACCTGCTGTTTCATTTTCAAAAATTCACTTCGTACCTGTAAACTTCAAACTGTAAGTTGGATGTCCCTTCAAGAAGCCCAGTGCCTCTTCCAGCTGAAGTGTTTCAAGAGCAGGACATGGAAGCCACCCGTCTCTGCAGGCCCCAGATGGAGCAGACAGCCACTCACATGCTTACAACTTCCATCCTCTCCCCCACCTGACCCTGCCACCACTGCTGAGGGACCGAGGATGGCTGGACGCTGGATGCTGACACCTGCCTCTCCCAGGATTGCTAGTAAAGGTGTGTGCCAGGCAGGGGCTGAGAGGTCCAGGTGGGGTGTGGGACATGATGCTCCCTGAGATATTCTCACTCCCAAACCTTAGCCAGAGGGTCTGGTTATGGAAAAGGGGAACTCATTTGGAGTCAGATGGATTTGGGTCTATTCCCTGGCTTTTCCATTGCATGCCTGTGTGATCTTGGGCAAGTCACTTCACCTCTGAGTCTCTGTCTCCTGTAAAAGGGTGATGGCGACAACATGTAACTGGCGTTGAGTGCTTACTCTGTGCAAGCACGACTTGCAGCACTTACACATATTAACTCGTTTCATTCTCACGACAACCCTGTGAGGTAGGTGCTGCCATCCCCATCTCACAGGTAAGTAAACTACAGCACAGCCAGGTAGTTACCCAGCTAGCAAGGGCGGAGGTGGAACTCAAAGCCAGGTTGGCTGAGGGATGGGAGCCCATGCGTTCCCACTGCACCCCAGTGTGGCAACCGTCACAGGACAGTACTACTCCCGGGTTGGCCCTGGGCCTGCAGCAGGGTGTCCCCAGCCAGCGCTGGCTGAGCTAACTGAAACCAGCTTGAGGGCAGGCTGCCCTCAAAGAACTCTAGGCCCTCAACCCTAAGCACTTGGCCAAGGAGCCAGGGAGGCGTCCTAAGTCTCCTTTCAATCTGCCCGGGAGTCCCGCTAGGCTGGCAGGCCGTGCCAGCAGCCGCCTTCCTTTATGCTGAGGCAGCAGGCTGGGTATCTTCATTCCTGCCTCTGCCACCCACCAGGGCCGTTAGCCCAGCCTCAGCTATGGTCCCCATGGGCGTGTGGGCTGCTGTTTCCAATGTCTGCCTGAGAAGCCCTCAACTGGGCCCAAGTGGCGAACAGAGCTGTGGCTCAGGGAGAGGAAATCCCTTTCCAGGCCTCAGGCGGCCCACCGGCCAGCCAGGCGCTAGGCTCTGTGGAGAGGCAGGAAGCGGGTGGCTGTGTTCATATAGTACCACTTGGTGCCAGGCTCTGAGCTGCCAGCAGTGTCACCCATACACACCTGCTCCAGTCCTGCAAGCTCAGTACTGTGACGCACCAGGATGGCTGAGGAAGGAGTCCCTGAGTGGCTGTCATTTGTCCGAGGCCACACACACAGACCCAAGAAGAGCAGTTTCCCACCTGGTGGGCTTGGGCTCCAAGGTCTGCCTACTCCCCAGCACATGGGAGCCTTGTGCAGACACCCCACACCTGCCAGGCATCAGGGCTGGCCCACAACGGCCTCCTACTGGCAGCACTTTCTCAAGCTTGTCTGTTCCCATGTTCTCCTCATGGCAAGTGTCTGACCCCAGACCGCCCCCCAAAGCCTGTCCCTACTGTCACCTGGGTGGCAGTACCCACTGCATCAGCCAGGACCGCCATGCGGGCACCTCAGCCACCTCACAAAATTGGTGCATTCCCCTTGGGTTTTTATAACTTGGGGAATAATTTGCAAACAGCAAGTCTTAGAACAAATCCTGGAAATTCACATCAACTGTCCCTGATTCTTCAGCATGACCTACAGAAGCATCATCATGTATTGGGTGCAAGCATGTAGTGGGTGCCAGCATGTACTGGGTCAAACGTAGTGTGTGCTAACATGTAGTGGGTGCCAGCATGTGCGGGGTGCCAGCATGTGCAGGGTGCTAACATGTACAGGGTGCCAACACATAGTGGGTGCCAGCATGTGCGGGGTGCTAACATGTACAGGGTGCCAACACATAGTGGGTGCCAGCATGCAGTGGGTGCTAAGACAACACAACACAGCCTCCTCCCTGCACCCCATGTGTTGAAGCAGACCCCAGAACCTCCTTTGGGCAAGTATCCAGAAAGGCCCCTAAAGATGAGGAAAGCCTGTGGATTCCAGCCCTGAGGCCTTGGCATAAATCCTGCTCCTCCATTTACTAGCTGTGGGCTTGGAGTAACTAACCCCCTTATGCCTCAGCGTCAGCATCTGTGAAACAGATAAAAGCACTGTAGTGCTTCCCTGAGTGCTATGAGTTTCAACATGATGCCCCCCAAGAGCCTGGAACGGGGCCTGGCACTTGTCAGCCTCCAGCTTCTCCCTCACATGGTGCACAGGGCCTCCCTGGACCCCTACCCAGGCTGTGCCACTACCCCAGGGGATGTCCTGGTCACTCTGCCAGGCTGAGGACAAGGTCCTGCTCCCACCTGCCTGGAACCCTCTGCCCTGCCCAGCCCCATGTGCTCCACCCAAAGCCAGGGCTGGAAGACACCCCCAAACCTGCTGCCCTGCCAGGGTCCCCGAGTGCCTCCCACACTGTGTTGTCACTAGACAGCCCAGCCCATTTGGCACTTTCCCAGACTCTGGTCCCCTCTCTGGAAAGAAACGTCCCGCCTCCCCCCAATTCCTTCACTCTGCCAAGTGTGGCAGCTGAGACACATACTCTGGAATCCACCAGGGCTGGGTTCAAACCTGGCTCTACCACTCACTAGACGTGTGTGGTTTGGGGCAAACTGCTTGCTGAATCTGTTGTCTCATCTGTAAAATGGGAACAATGACCTACTTCATAGGACTCTGAGGATGGAATAAAATACTAGCACTTCTTGGGCAGCAACCCGATGCCAGGCCTCATGCTACAGAAATCTTTAATTCCTTTCCTCCATAGGAGGGAGGATTCTTCATCTCAAGAACACACAGTGGTTCCATCCAATCAATCAAGTAGAGCCTTTATGTTTCTCTGCAGACAGCAGCTCAGCAGTGACGCCACATCCCCTGCCTTTCCCCGGATGTTGCAGGCCCACAGTAGAGATGAAGGGATGTTAGGGACCTCATGTCAGACACAGAGACCCACAGCAAGGGCAGGAGGCAGGGAAGGGGGCATCCAAGTGTGTGGTTAGCGCCTCAGGTCTGGTCCAGAAGGCCAGAATTTTTGTCAGTTTGTGATCCTGGAGTCCTTATCCCTACTCCCACCCCTACTCTAACAGAGAGAGCTTCGAGCAAGTGAGGCAGGAAGTGGGAGAATGCAGGAGCTCCCCCAGGTGGTAATGAACACGATCCCATAAGTGGGATTGATCTGGAACTTGGACACCTCAGCCGACCCACCCTCCCCAACCCCACCTCTGTCCACTAAAGACACACCCAGGCGATGAAAGAGTGGCTGCTCCCCCATCCAGCTTCCTGGGGGGCCTAAGTGTCTCCTGAGTAGAATGAAGACAAGGTCGAGGCTCACTTGGGATCCTGGACACAAAGCGCCATCAGAGCCCTGTGCATTCTGGGTGAGGCCAGTGGAGGCTGCAGCACCCCACGCCCCCCCACACACAACCCCCACATATAACCTTATAGGCCAGGATGGAGGTCCTTTGCTTTCCCTCCATAAATCCCAGCCTGGCCTCACCAGCACCTCAGGCCCTACCCGGGGCCTTAATTCCGGCGGGACCTGGCTTGACCACCTGCCCCATCTCTGATTTCTGTCTGGGCCTCATCTTCCCCTGCCCCTCCCCACGGGGGTCTCCATTAAGTCTCCATTAAGTTCCCATTAAGTCTCCAGGGCTGAGGCCCTGAGCCGTGTTCTTTCTAAACCCGCCCCCTCATTGAACAAGTGAGATCATTGTGCAAGCAGGGATCTGGGGCTTCTCAGGCCTCCCCTTCACTTAACATCACTGAGGGGCTCTGGGAAGGTGGGTCCAGTCCCTGCTTTATTGAAGGTGAACACCAGACAAAAAAATCCACCTGCATCCCTTTCCCTGCTGCCCCTCACATCCAGGACCAGGGCCCCTGCCTGCTGGCTGGGAATCCAGGGACCACCGCCCCCCAGAGGCCTGGGTCAGTACCCAGCTCTCAGGCCCACCCACTCGGTATTCCCCACTCCTCGTGCCCTGCCTGAGACAAGTAGAGGGGGAGCAAATCACTCGACTTAAGAGGGAGAGGCCCAACTATGGTAGAGATGGAAGCTTCCTTGGTCTGACATGGGTCTGACTTTTTTGAAAACCAGAGCACCCTGACCTCTGGGGACCCTCACGGCAGCCCCCGGAGCCTCACCTGCCCTTCCTCCTCCTTGGTTGAATTGCCTGCCTCCACATGGCCTGATCAGACCCCTGGCCCCCTATGCGGACTTCCTGGGACTCAGGCCCTGTTTTCTGCCCCTACCACCGAGAGGCCTAGAGACCCTCCAACACCCAGTGGGGAGACTGGAGGAGCTGCCCACCAGGCCCCTAAGGCAGGCCCAGTCAGGGACAGGCCCCGCCCCTGCCCCTCAGGGAACCTGGTGGCTGCCCCCACTGCCCCATGTGGTTAGAAAAGGAGAAGCACTGAGGGGTGGGCAGGGCAGGAGGCAGGCAGGGAGCCATTCAGAGGGCAGTGCAGTCAGGGCACCTCGGGGGGTAGCAGAGGGGTGTCTGAGTTCTGTGCTGAAATGCTGGGTGACTCGGGCCCGATAAGCCCCAGGCCGTACAAATTCAGGATGGAGTCAGCGATGATGCGGGCCGTGCGCTTCTGGTACCCGCCCGAGGTCACCATGAGGATGGGCACCCGGCGGCCGCGGACCACCCGGAACACCAGTTCATCCCGCTTCACGATGCCCTGTGGGGAGACGGGAAGGCTGGCTACGGCAGGCCTCAATGCTGCAGTGTCAGGAGGTCCTGCTGCAGGTCTAGCCCTGCTCCAACTGCTGTTTTCACCCATCCCCTCTGATACCAGTGCGGCCCACCTGTCTGCAGAGCAGCCCACCCCCGGAGTCAGGATGTACCTGTGGGCTGATGGACAGCCCCCCAAGGCGGTCCCCCTCGAGGATGTCAGTGCCTGCGTTGTACACCACCACGTCAGGTGGGTGCTCCTGGAGGGCTTTCTCGAGGTTCCTCTCCACTTTACCCAGGTATTCATCATCCTCCGTGCCCCACTCCAGCTCCACCTTCCGCCTGATGGCCTCTAGAGGGATACAGGAGCACCCCCCAATGTGCAGAGAAGGGAAACTGAGGCTCAGGAGGGTAGAGACTGCCTGGGTCCCTGTCAGTGCCCAAGATAGGACTAGAAACCAGTCGGTCTGATTCCACACTGCTCAGCTCCCCATGTCAACCCAAACTAAGCTAAAAACAGTACCGAGCACTGCAAAGTGGGGACCAAAGGAGAGAAGGGGTTTGCCCTGGGGATGTAAGAGATCTGTGTCAGTGACATCCGGTCTCACTGCCTCCATGAGCCGCGCCTCGTGCCCAGACCCAGCATACTCAAGATTCAGGTCAGAAGCTGGTCCCTCAGGCCGCGCGGGGCCGAGCCACAGCAGGCTCACCAGCCCTTCCTGCACAGAAGCCTCCTGCCACAAAGCGGGCATGTCCCTGTTTCCACAGCGCCTCTCTGCCTCTGGAGTAATGTCTCATCTGCCCGCATTTATTTGAACTACTATATTTTAACTGGTTTCTGTCAGCGGATTTTGAATCTTCTATCATGTTTCCCTCGTTTCTTTTTCCTCACTCTCTGTGTTCTACTAGATAGATGCAAACCTAGAAAAGGAGTCTGTTGTTATTCTTCTGATGGCTGCCCCTATATGAACACCCACATGTGTTTACTGGACAGCCTTATGTAGTTTTGGGTGGGTCAACTTCTCTAGGTCTCAATTTCCGCATCTGTACGATGGGAACCAGCCCCATGCAGGGATCCTGAGACTAAATGAAGTGACTTCCGCAGGGCCCAGCACATAGGAAACACTCAAGGGAGAGCCCATCCGAGTCAGGGCGCCCTTAGGACTGGGGCTGGGGGCAGCTTACGCTTGGCAAAGCGGTCCCCGGGATAGATGTGGCGGTTGTAGACGTCCATTATGTACACACGCTTGTCACCCATGAAGTCCCGTTCATGCCCATTGCCCTGTGGGGAGGACATGGAAGCCACTCACAGGCAGGTGCCCTGAGCAAGGTCAGGAGCCCCCACCCAGGAAGCTTTCCCTCCCGCCCCCGTGTGCCTGAGCAGGGCAGCTTGCCCTTGGGGCACAGTCTCATGGCTGTTAAGTACAAAGCGGGGATTCAGCCTCAAAACCTGGCTCCATGACCTTCTAGTGTGACCTTCAGCAAGCTCCAGCCCTCTCAGTTTCATCTCCATGAAACAGGGTAGTAATCCTGCCCACCCCCTCCCCACCACACCCCACCTCAAGTCTGTGGTAGGATTGGCTGGAATCAGGAATGTGAAACAAACTGTAAAGGGCTGTACTCCTGTGACTTGGTTCAGGAGCTCAGTGCCACGTGACCTTGAAGCAGGGCCCCAACCAGCACAAAGCCACAGCAGCAGAGGTGTCGGAGGGCCCTTCCAGAGCCTACTGGATGCCCTGCTCTTCCTGGGACCAGAGGAGCATGCCCTGGGTTTGGGGTCCCAAGAAGGAGGCCCTGCACTCTGAGCCCAACCAGTGGGCCCTTCAGCAGTGGCCTGGGGCTGGGCAAGCCTGAAATCATGTGTGGGCAGGTCCTCGTTAGCTCTGTGCACAAAGGCTAGGGGAGCCACAGGGGGGTCCGAACACAAGAACAGCACTACCAGGTGGGCTCTAGAGAGAGCGACAGCCTGCTGTGTGGGCGCAGTCAGGAGGCACGGAGGACCCTGAGGCCTGACAGCAGCAGTGAAGGGCCAGCCGTCCTGGCTGGGTGGTGAGAGGCAGAGGGAGAGACGAGCCTCTGCTTTCAGGCTGAGAAGAGGGTAGGCAGCATGGGGGGAAGCAGGAGGTGAGGGTGGGGGTGCAGAGGTCCGGCTTGGGGCTCAGGGGTGTTCCCGCGGTAGAGGGGAGTCCCACAGTTTAAGGTTGTGTGACTGGTGCCAGTGGGGGCATGCAGAGGGGTCCTGGGAAAGGGGGCCATGAGATCGTGGTCCCCACAGGGCACTCACCTGATGGGCATCGAGATCAACAATGGTGGCCCTGGAGATGCCCTCCACGCGCTCAAACAGAAACTGCCAGGGAGGAGAAGGGAGGCGTGAGGATCCAGACAGGCCAGAGGACGCAGCCCCTCGGGACTCACAGTAGGTGAGGGGCCGGACTGGAGGCCGTACATGCGTGCGGGCTTTCAGGACGCGGGGCAGAGACATCATACACCCAGAAGAGCTGCGTGGCTCCAGAGAAGCCTGTGTGCGTGGGCAGGGAAGGCTCCCTGGAAGAGAGGGCTTGTGCTATGCCCTGAAGGGCGGAAGTCAGGAGTTAAGTGGGGCAGTGGGGCTGGCCTTCAGTGACAGTCCCGGAATACTGGGGAAATGTGTGGGACTTAGGGGAGGGGGAGCCTCCCCTCAAAACGGCCTGGGACTTCATTCCGCAATCTTTGCCTTCCTACAAGGCATGTCCTCGTGCCTTCTTCTGCTCCCCGCACCCTCCAGGAAGGTTTCTGTGCGTCCCCCTCTCGGAATGGCCAGGGTCTGCTGACCACCCACCCCCCAACTCCCCTCATTGGCCTGTGTGCCCTGTGAGGACAAGGACCAGGACAGCCTGTCCCTGACACCCAGCACGAGGCCAGGCGCAAGGTGGGCAGGGGTAACTCGGGTCTGACAGAAAGGAGGCCACTGCCAGCTGTGCCCCTTCTGGCTATGGCCTCACCTCTCTGGTCTTCGGTTTCCTCATCTGTAATAGGTGAGGACTAACTGAGGTGGGCCATGGGGAACGGAGACTGGCACAGGATTTGCCTGCATTAAGTGCCATCAGGATTACTGCGATCACTATTATTAGCTCTTTCTCCTCCTTACTCTTTCAGAGCAATGCCCTTATGTTTTTGACATATATGCCCCCACTCAGGCCCCTGCCACTGTTGAAGGCAGTAACACCTCCCTTCTGTCACAGGCAGCTCAGAAGAGCAGTGTCAGTCAGATCTGGGTTTGAGCCCCAGCCTGGCTGAGGGGGCCAGTGAGCGTGCTCTCCGCTGAGCCTCAGTCCTTTCTCTATCGTATGGGGTGAGGTCAGGCTGGGAGTGGCAGGGGGACTCCAGGAAGGGCTCTCAGGGGCGAGCCCGCCGTGCTTTGCTCTTGGGCACACCTTGACGGCCAGCGTGATGTCCGCGTAGGCGCAGAAGCCCCCGCCCCGGTCACTGGAGCAATGGTGGAAGCCGCCGCCTGTGGAAGGGCAGACATGGTGTGGTCAGACCCAGGCTCAAGGCGAGGCCCTGGCGCTCCCCGCCTCTGCCCTCCCAGGTGCCTGCTCTCCTTGCTCAGCTTCCAGAAAGGCTTTGGGACTCAAGATTGGCAGTGAACTGAGCGCCTGGGCATGTCCCCATTCCTGGGTAAGGACAGCCACCCCTCAGGGCGTCCTAACAAGTCAGCCCCAGTGCCTACTCACATCCCTAAGGGGATGGGAGCTCATCCCGCTCATGGCAGAAAGCCTCCGCAGGGCTGGGCCTGCCTGCATCCGAATCCTCACGCCAAGAAGAGTGGTGGAGCGGTGACGGCAGGTGTACCTTGGGACCTCCCAGGTTTTGTGGTGGCAGAGGGGATGGTCATAACCCTCTGGTGGTTATGGCTGCCTGTGACAATGGGGAGGGCCGTGAAGCCCAGAGTCTAGCCCCCGCTACCCTCAACCCTGAGACCACAGCCTCAGAGCCTCGGAGCCCATGCTGCCCGTTCCCCTGCAACCCCAAGAACATGAGCTGCAGGGGCTTCTGAAGTTGAGCCCAGTAACTGCCCCACCTGGCTGTGTGAAGCCAGGGCCCACGAATACAAGGGACTTGCCTTTTCCACCACCCAAGAGGCTGTCATTGGATCATAATGACAAAGTAACCGCCAACAGTGAACTCCTAACCAGGCACTGAGCTCACCGAAGCCTCCCTACAGCCCTAGGAGGCAGCATTATCATCATCTCCATTTTACAGGTGAAGAAACTGAGGCACAGAGAGGGTTAGCAACCTGTCCTGGGTCACACAGGTAACTAATGGCAGAGCCAAGATTCAAACCAAGACTGGATCAGGACCTGGACTCTTAGCCTCTACCAGGCCATGGAAGAAGGGCCTTCCTGGGTCCTCATGGGAACGCTGCAGTTAATACACATGGCATGTATCACTTATTCATCAATTCAGCAGAGTATCATAACACCATGGTTAAGCCAGACCTAATGCTGGTGTGGCCAGACCTGGCCAGACCATAATGGAAGAGACCCAGCCCTGGTCTTACAGAGCTCACAGTCCAGTGTTGGGGGCGGGGACAGTTATGGGGCTCTTAGAAAGCCACTAGGCCTCTGTGGATGTCCATGTTCTTATCACTATATGGGGACTGAGCAGTAACACCCAGCTCAGATGAGAGACCAGACAGAAGAGGGCTTCACAGGCTGGGACGTGCTGAGCCTCCATGAGGGACACTGATGAGGGGAGAAAGACCATGGGGGTGGCGCTCCCATGAGCCAGTCTTGTGGGAGAGTCCAGGGGACTGGGGAAAGCTGGCTTTCAGGACCCCTGAGAAGGAAGTGATATTGATCCTGGACCTGTCCCCCCACCACGACATGACCAAGCCCCTGCAGGCTGTCCTGAGCCCCGAGAGGTTGATGGAGTCTTTTGGGGGAGCCTCTGAAACTCTGTAGGTTTCAGCTCCATGCAGAACTGCCCAGGGGCAGAACAGGCTTTCTTAGAGGGCACGAGCGCCCCATCCCTGGAAGTATGCACAGGAAGGACTAGGAGCCAACTGGAGAACTAGTCTAGACAAGGGTCCCATGCCAAGTGGAGGCACAGGTTGGTCCCTCTTAGGCACCAGGCGCTGCACACCTGCCTCCAGGCCACTCTCGGAGGCTCGGGTGGCTATGGAGGCACCAGAGCCTAAGCTCACGACTGTCTCCTCCAGGTCCCTCCCGGCCCTGCCAGCCCCCAGGCCAGGCAGCGGAGCACTCACCCACGTTGATGGCCCAGCCTCGCTCCACTGCCAGCTTCCCCGCCTGGGAGACAAGCACAGGGTGAGGGGGGCAGGCATCCTTCTCCTTCAGTCACTCAGTCACTGATGCACTCGTTTATCCCACGAACACTGTTTCCAGCTACCTCTGAGGTGGGGGTTCAGAAAGCACCTGTTGCACCGCCCCTCTCCCCCCACCCCCGCAGCAAACTCAGTCCCAGAAGCAAGTACCAGATTGGCTGGCATGTGAGACGTGCAGTGCCTAAGCCCGCTGCAATTCTGTGAGGAAACTGGAAGAAACCAGTTAATTATTAAGGTCACACATGAGCTGACAATGATTTTAATGTGGCTTTCGAAGGGAAAATAGACAACTTTTTGCTCAATGGAAATACAGTATACTGAATACTGAAATCCGACAGGAAATTATAGTTTTGGGGGGTGGGTAGTGATATTCTAATTAACTAAAAAAATGTACAAAATTGCAAGCTAACAAGAAAATTATAGGGATCAATAGGTATTGATCCAGGTCTGGATTAGGTCATTGTACACTGAAATCTGAAGAGTTTCTCTACCTCCAACTACTTGGCAGCCTGTGGCTAATTTTGAAGAAAACTACACACAAGACATGAAACCTAATTTTGCCACGAGTGCTCTCCATTGCCGCACCCTCAATGGGGAGAGGGGAGCATCATCCATCACTGAAGTCATGGGAGCGTCTTAAATTTGAGTACGTCGAAGTGATGGTTTTAGGATATATCTCTGAGGGATGCGATAGATCTTATATGCCAGCAAATACGGTACCTCAGTCAGAGGTTCCAAGGGAAGAAAAAATGAATTCTAATGTGCCGGGATGGGAAATGCATTGGCAAAAAGGGTTATTGTTGCTGGGCCTTGATGAACATTTAGGATTTTGTTCAACTACCAAGTGGGAGAAGGGTACTGCAGATGGAGAGCGCCAGGTGGGCAGAGGCCCAGCGGTGAAGAGGAGCTGGGTGCGGGAGTCCCTGGCCCCCCTGTGTCCCGCCTGCCTCCCTACCTACCATTATGGTTCCTCCCGTCTGGGTCCGAAGGGGCTTCAGCACCTTCCTCTGCACAAGGAAGTTGGGGAGAAAGATGACAGGAGGGATTTCAGTGATGGTCGCGACAGCAAAGGACCACTGTGGAAAGAGACGCAGGCCATTGGCCTCCCACTGCCGTCCCCAGAGCTCAGAGGCAGCAGCTGGGAAATCCGACTTTCTCTAATGCTAGTTTCAAGGTGCCCTGGGTGAACTCCTGGTCAAGTGCAGCTTCTTTAGGAAGGAATGAGAGCTTCCCACCCGTCTGGCCCCACAGAGCTCTGGGCTCAGTGAAGTGCCATTTACACAGCTAAGTTGCCCACATCCCTTGGTGCTTCAAAGCCCTTGGCTGCCCTCTTGTGCCCAGAACAAAAGCTGAAACCAATATAATAATATCAACTGTAATTGAAAAACTAAAAGTTAAAATTAAGAAAAATACAGTAAGAAATATATTGGGATGGGAAAGGAGAGAAAATGAAACAAAAAAGCTGAGGAGGACTCCAAGTCACAGAGGTGCAGGCACAGAACTGGCCCAGCCACTGACAGTGAACAGGAGTTATCCAGTTGTCCGGGTCAAGGTAAAAAAATGACTGCTGGCAGTGGAAAAGTAAGTTGAGGTCCAAGGGAAGTTGGGTGCAGCCAGGAGAGGGCTGTGGTTATGATATAGGGCCTGGTCTGCCAGTGAAGGCTCTCAGACGTCATGGTCAGGGCAGTCAGCAGGGGGCCTCGACGGTGCCTCCCAAGCTGCTGTAGCTGCAGCAGGACCAGTTAGGGGAATGAGAAGAGCAGCAGGAGTGGCCCAGGGAGGAAGCAAGAGATAATGAGGGTCTGGAGGGTGGGGGTGGGGATGGCTCACAGACAGGATGCAGGAGACAAACGGACAGAGGTATCCAGGACACAAGGAACCCAGGCAGAACTCCAGCACTGAAGGCCAAAGCCCATGAGTGGAGCCCACTGGGGTGAACAGGGTTGTCTGGGGACCAAGGGGTGGCAGGCAGCTTGGGGATCAGAGGTGCTCAGGAAGGAGTGAGCAAAGTGAGGCACTGAGGCTTCCAAGGCATCCTGGGAGAGAAGTGGGAAGCATGGCCACTGTGCTCACCAAGCAGGAGAGACTCAGGCCTGCAGAGGACTGAGCACAGGAGTCAGCAGAGAGGGAAAGAAAGAGGCCAAGGATGGAGCGTGACAGCGAAAGGTCATGGGACTGGAAAGGCCAGGAAGGCTCCAGAGGTCCCCACATGAGACTGGGGCAGGACAGGACCCATGTCAGCTCAAAAGGGGCCACTGTGCCTTAGGCCACGGGCCAATACGGGAGACATTTTGCCAGGTTGCCCACACTGCCAGTGACACCTGTGTGGCCATCCTTCCCAGGCCAGCAAGGCTGAGGACAGCTGAAGGCTGGGGAAGCTCGTTCTGCCCCCTCACTGAAGTGAAGAAGCCCATGAGCACGGTCTATAAGACCTGGACCACTTGTCTGACAGGAGGTCCCCATCCAGCTTTCCTCAAGCACAGGCCCTCCAGCTGTAATGGAGGCGCGCAGGGCCTGGCAGGGGGCAAGGGTGCTAGAGATGGTCCAGGGAGGATGAACAGCTGCACGACCCTCCCCCATGTGCATGGGAGTGCATGCATGCACCACGGACACATGCGTGCACATATGAGCACATGTGCCTGTGTGTGGTGGGGCACAGACCCAGAGAGGAGGTGGCCGGCTCTGCCTGTTGGTCACACCAGTCCCATTTGCCCAACACAGGTCTGGAACCACTGTTTTCTAGGAATAAATGAGTGAACACACAAATGAAGAAACACATTAAGTGACCGCCTCCCTCCTTGAGCAAGCCAGCACTGGGTAAGAGACTGAAAGGAAATGAAGCCATACCCCAGCCCTTGAGGGTCCCAATATGGACACAAAACCATGAGAATGACATTTCTCTGAGTGTGTGCCACAGCAGCTACCTAGCACCAGAGCACTCCATCAGGAACGGGTTCATATCAAATAAGTTTGGGGAACACTGCTTATGTTGTCCACCTCTTGGAAATTCATAACCCACTCTGGCGTGTTAAAGGCTCTGAGAAGGTCTACAGTATAAAATCTTCTTAAACTGTGCTTCACTCTGTGTTTCCCAAAGTTCCTGACTACAAGCCTCTACCTGCCTCCTTTGCTTTTAGATAACACATACTGTACTGACATTTGCAAGGCTGCAGTCACGTGGGTGGGACACACTCGGGAACCTCTCGCCAGAGACTGAACTTTACATGGGCCGGGCATACAGTCACCAGAAGCACATATGGGACTTTGCCAAGGGGACCAGCTTCCACAGGGGAAGGCACTTGGCTGCCACTGTTTCTCCACTTCTGGCCATCCAAGATAGGGCTGAGCACATCAGCCTTCTGCTCGGCCCACTGGGGTTTCTGTGCCTAGCAGTGGTATGGCTTAGATAGTCTAGAGCTGTGCTGTACAGTCCAGCAGTCACCAGCCACACGTGGCTATCTGTAAATAATTTTAATTAAATTTTTAATTCAAATTTTGTTCTTTGGTCACACTAGCCATATTTTAAGTGCTTAAAGGCCACATGTGGCTAGTGGCTACTGGACTAGGCAGAGCCTTTCTAGAACATTTCCATCACTGAAGAAAAGTTCTGTTGGATAAAAGTTCTGATGGGAAAAACTATCAGTGGCCAGGGTAAAAAATAAACAGAGGGGGTGGGGAGACTGGGGGATGGGCGGACGGGGGACAGATGTTCCAGTGCCAGGGGAGGGTACTTTATCTGGGACGTGCAGCAGGCTAGGGTGGGAACGCCCAGGTCTGCCAGCAGGTCAGGCTCTCTGACAGCCTGGCCTCAGGCAAGGGCATTGAGGGACAGGCTGGATGGGAGTGGGATGGGGATGGGGCTCAGAAGACTTCCTCAGAACACACTGGTCGGACTCTGGGCCCTGCCACTGCTGTATGAATTTGGGCATGGCCCTCATCCATCTGTCTCCTCATCTGTGACATAGGCGCTCCTCCCAACGAGGCCTGGAATGAGGACTTAGACCCATTAAAGAGACAGACCTATCTTCACTGCCCAATCTAAAGTACCCCCACCTAGGCCCCCTCGACTCCTGCCTTTGTGTACAGCACTTGTCTCAGCCTGACAATAACAATACTTCGATTGTTATCTGTCTCTCCCAGAGGGATGCCAGCTCCAGGAAGGCGGGCACACGCTCGTTCTCTGCTGCGCCAACCATGATGAGAATCATGCCTGGCACACAGTAGGTGCTTTTAGCACATGCTCTCCACCCTCCCCAAAGATGCCTACCTCCTCTTCCGAGGAGGCCACTTCACCTGCTCCTTTCCAGGACAGCCTGTAAGAGTGTGGCCTCTGCTCCTGAAACAGAATGCTATAGACAGCACACACCCCGGGATCAGTCGGAGGCCACACTCCTGGTGAACCCACGTGTGTGCCCAGCTCCTGTCCCGCCCTCTCTGCTTCCCCCGCTGTCTTACAGGTTTTACCTGAAAACTTGCCCTGGGTGAATTGCCACTGCAGGCTCTGCCTTTAGGGCTATGCTCTCCAAGTGTGGTTCCTGGACCAGCAGCAAAAGTAGCATCTGAGAGCTTGTTATAAATGCATATTCTCAGGCCCCAGACCTCTTGAATCAGAAACTCTGGAAGTGGGGCCTAGTGACAAGCCCTCAAAAAGATTTGATGCTTTAAGCAAGTTTGTGAACCACTACTCTATAGGGAACATGAACTCAGACAGTGCTGAATGAATGAATGAATGAATGAATGAATGAATGAAGCTACCTAAATCTGGGAGGTTTACCCCAGCTTGATGCCCACCACCCACCGAACAGTCTGGCCTGCAAGCTTCCCCATCCCAGGCTCCATACCCTGACAGCCTTTTGGGGACTCCACCGATAGCAGGACACACCTGGGCCTGGAACACCTCTGAGTCCCCGATAGTCTGAGCTCTGCAAGAAGCTAATCTCCAATAGCCTGATTTCCTCAGGTGGACCCCCTACCCTCAGAGGTCCAAATCAAGAGACTGACTGAAGCAAAGAGACTGACTGAAACCCCACTTAAGAGCCCCAACTACAGTAAGTCCCCGATTTACGAACGAGTTCCGTTCCGGGAGAACGTTCATAAGTCAGGTTCGTTCCTAAGTCCAACTTGGATGCATGATTGGCTGCATCTGTGAAAGTTCACAACTTGAATGTTCATAAATCGGGGACTTACTGTACTTGGTTTGGGTCAGGACTTTCCACCAGTGTAAGTGGGAGCAAAAGGAGAGAAGGGCAAAGAAAACCCACACAATCATCTCAGTTGATGAAGAAAAATCCTCTAACAAAATCCAACACCCTTTCATGATAAAATCAATTTAAAAATCAGGAATAGAAGAGAACTCCCTCAACAGGACAAAGGGTCTCTCTCTCTCTCTCTCTCTCATACACATACACATACACACACACACACATACACACACACACACACACACACACACACACACTCCACAGCTAACATGCAATGGATTTTTAGATGTGACACCGAAAGCACAACCAACAAAAGAAAAAATTAGATAAATTGAACTTTAGCAAAATTTAAAAATTTTATGCATCAAAGGATATTGCTATATCAAGAGGGTGAAAAGACAATCCACAGAATGGGAGAAAATATTATTTGCAAATTATATAATATCCAAAGCATATAAGGAACTCCTACAACTCAACAACAAAGACAAACATTCCAATTTTTAAAATGGGCCAATGACTTGCATAGACATTTCTGCAAAGAAGGTACATAAATGACCAACAAGCATGTGAGAAAATGCTCAATGCTATTAACCATTAAAAATGCAAATTATAGGGGGCAGCCCGTTAGCTCAGTTGGTTAGAGCGCAGTGCTCATAACACCAAGGCTGCTGGTTCGAGCCCCACATGGGCCACGAGCTGCGCCCTCCACAACTAGACTGAAACAACTACTTGACTTGGAACTAATGGGTCCTGGAAAAACATACTGTTCACCAATAAAAAAAATAAAATAAAATAAATAAAAATTAAAAAAATAAAATAAATAAAATTTTAAAAAAGACATGCAAATTATAACCACAATGAGATACTACTTCACACCCACTAAGTTAGCCACAATAAAAACGAACAGAAAATAGTAAGTGTTGGTGAGGATGTGTAGAAATTGGAAGCCTTGTGCCATTGTTAGGAACATGAAATGTGCAGCTGTTGTGGGAATCATTTGGGTGGTTCCTCAAAAAGTTAAACAGAATCACCATATGACCCAGCAACCCCACTCCTAGGTAAATGCCCAAAATAACTGAAAATAGGGACTCAAACAAATACTTGTACCTGAATGCTCACAGCAGCACCATTCACAGCAGCCAAAAGCGGGAAATAACCCCCAAGTCCCTGAGCTGATGACAGGATAGGCAGAATGTGGAGCCACACAATGGAATGTTACCGAGCCTTAACAAGGAACGAAGTGCTGACACAGGCTACAAAGTGGGTGGTTCTTGAAAACACTATGCTCAGTGAAGCCAGAGCAGGTCACATCTTCTATGACTCCATGCACACTATAGAAAACATCCAGAAGAGGCAAAAACAGATTGGTGGTTACCAGGGGGAGTGGGGAGAGAGGAGTGGGGAGCAACTTCTTAGTGGGCATGGGGTTTCCTTTTGGAGTTATGAACATGTTTTGGATCTAGATAGAGGTGATGGTTGTACCACATTGTAAGTGTACTAACTGCCACTAAATTTTACACTTTAAAATGGTTAATGATTAATTTTATGTTACATGAATTATACCACAATAAAAAATAGGAGAGAGGGGCCCCCTCAAGGAAAAAAAGATAAGTAAGAGGGAGACCATCATAGACCCTGGGGTACCATTTCCCCAGAGACCCTCCCAGGACATCTGCCTTCAGGTTCTCTGTGGAGCTGGGGTCTGTGCCTCCCGCTCTCCCACAGGACTCCAAGTGCCCTGAGGGTAGCAATGAGGCCCAATTCCTGCCCAGACTTCCTGGGGCTCAGGTCAAAATTTTTGAAGCATCCTTGGCTTCTTTGTCTCACATACCCCATACTCAATCTGAACAACAGAAAATCCTTCATTTCAACTTCATAACAAACCTCAACTCCTACCACTTCTCCCCACCCCACAGCTGCTGCTTCCAGGCTAGTCTAAGAGCCCAGCATCTCTCATGGTGATCAGTGCAACAACCTCCTTCCCCACTGCTCTCCCGGCTTTTGTCCTGACAGCATATTCTCATCATAGCTGCCAAGCAATTCAATTAAAACATAGTTCAGATCACAACAACCCTCTGCTTAAAACACTCCTTGGCTACCCCCTCACTCAGAGCAAAGCCCTAGGTGGTCTGGCCCAACCGCCTTCTGACCCTATCTCTTACCATTGTCCCTCCCAATCTCTCTGATCCAGCCCACTGGCTTCCTCACTGTTGCTGGAACACACTGGAGGTCCTCCTACCTCAGGCCTTTTGCACTTGCTCGTCCTGCCGCTTAGAATGCCCTCCTCCAGATGCCCACGCACCCTACTCCCTCACTGCCCTCCCTTCATGATCACATGTCAATAAGCTCCTCCCCGATCCCCCCATCTCCTTTCCTGCTGTACTTTCCCTGGCACTGAGCACATCTAACACACGTCACTGACTTGATTATTGCGTCTAGTAGCTGACCCCCCACCTAAATGCCAGCTCCACAGGAGCTGTTAAATTCCGTCTCCCCACACCTGGCACAGAGCATGGTGCTCACTAAATACTGCTGGATGAACGTGTCCCCAGCACTGCCCAGCTCAGGGCGCACAAGGACGTCACATCTGCATCACACTACCCACCCACACCCATGGCAAACCATCCCTGGGGTCAGCAGAAGGCAAGAGCCCTGCGTGGGCCCAACACACCCACCTCAGCGAGGCCACCTCTGGGCGCTCCATGAACACTTGTCTCCCTGAACAGATGCCATCTGTCAAACATTAGGCTATGGCATCCCTTCAGTGCCTCGTTTATTAAGCACTGAAGGCCATTCCAGTGCAGAGCCAGGCGTGAGTCCCAGAACATGGGCTGAGGCAGATTGAAGGGGGTGGGGAGAGGTGGATGGAAACTCCACAGCACACACACAACAGACAAGGAAAAACAGCCCTGGGAAATCTGTGGGCACTCTCCAGGGCACTGCTCAGGGTCCCAGGCAGAGAAAAGGTACAGAAGCTGCAAACATGTGTGGGGTGAGGGGGTGTCCCTGGGCTGCAGCATCCAGATGCCAGACAAGGCCTGAAATGGACATGGGTCTCCCCTGAGCATCAAGGGCACACCACGTCACATCACTCTCTGACACCTGGACAAAACCCAAACTCCTCCCACAGCCTGCGCTGCTGGCCTCCCTGACTACACCACGTGCCATCTAGGTGTTTTAGTCCCTTCAACCTGGCCACTCAAGGAGGCCAAGTCCCTTCCCACTCCGAGCATGAGGCTCTGGAATATTCTTTCTTCAAAGCTCTACCTGAGTGTAACCTACTCCTTATAATTTAGTCTCAGCTCACAGCTCACCTCCTCTGTGAGGCCCTCCCTGACCACTCAGTCTAAATGAGTATACCTCCCCCCAGGTACCCTTTATTGTTTTTCTTCATGGCCTTTGGTGCCCTCTGAAATGCTTTTGTGTGATTACTTCTTTATTTTCAGTCTCCCACAATGAAAATGCAAATCCACAGGCACAGAGAACCTTGCTTATTCTTTTTTGGTGCCTAGTATAGTCAGTGTTCCATACAGATGTGCTGAATGACTGAATACTTCACCTTAGTAGGTTTATGCAATTCATCATGTTTCTCCTTTTGCTCTGGCTTCCAGGGAGCTCCAAGCCAAATATAAGGTATGACAATTAAGTTCACAAACTTGTTGCAACAATGTTGCTAACCTTTTTTGATATCAGAGGGATTATTCATTATGAATTTGTACCAACTGGACAAACACTTAACCAAGTTGACTATTTGGAAGTGCTGAAAAGGCTGTGTGAAAAGGTTAGACGACCTGAACTTTTCACCAACAATTCATGGCTCTTGCATCACGACAATGCACCAGCTCACACGGCACTGTCTGTGAGGTATTTTTAGCCGGTAAACAAATAACTGTATTGGAACACCCTCCCTGCTCACCTGCTCTGGCCCCCAATGACTTCTTTCTTGATCCGAAGATAAAGGAAATATTGAAAGGAAGACATTTTGATGACATTCAGGACATCCAGGGTAAAATGACAACAGTTCTGATGGCCATTCCAGAAAAAGAGTTCCAAAATTGCTTTGAAGGGTAGTTAGGCACTGGCATCAGTGCATAACTTCCCAAGGGAAGTACTTCAAAGGTGACTATAGTGATATTCAGCAATGAGGTATTAGCACTTTTTCTAGGATGAGTTGGTGAACTTAATTGTCCAACCTCATATGTAGCTCAGTCATACTTATCACATAGTAAGCTGTCCTCAGGCTTTTGGGGACTCAAAGCCAGGCATGCAGTAGGCCCCACACAGTTTCCCTAAAGGCCCCACAAATGGGGGTGGGGTTCCTAGCCTTATCCTGCGTGCTCACTCCATCCCAGCCCCACTCTGTTCTGGTCTCTTCTTGCCTGGACTCAATGTCTCCTGTCCCTGCACCTGGCCTTACTCCCTGGACTCTGGCAGGCATGTCCTCCTGGTCCAGCCCCTGGGCTATGGGCTGTGATCATGCATGTCCAAGCCCCAGGAAATCAGGGCAGCCAACACTGGGCTTCTTGCCAAGGCCTCACACACCCGCCTCTCCCAGGAGCCAGGTTTCAACCTCTTCCTGGTAATCTTTCATGTGCTCACATTGTCACGACTCCATCTAGAATTTTCACAGCTAGGCTGGAGTCTGGAGAAGGGAAGGCAGCAGCTGTGACCAGGAGCCTGGAAGACCAGACTGGATGCCCGACCTGGGGTCTACCCCAGGTCTGCCTGACTTCCTAGGTGACCTTGAGCAGGTGTGGCCTCTTTCTGGGCCTAGCTCTTCCATCTGTAGAGGGGAGGGGCCTGGTGATCTCTGGCATCTTCTCGCTCTGAGTCTAACATGAGTCCAGCTTGGGAGCCTGGGGTCAGGGGTCAGGATCTTACACTCTTGGAGGTAGAGAACCTGAGGCATCCCGGACCCCAGGGCAGGCTGACAGCACCAGGTTCTGATGCAAGCCCCAGCCCAGCCTCCCCTCTGCTCCCACAAAGGGAACTGACTGAATGCCTCCACCCTCAGAACCTCAGCCACTAACGAGAGCTGTTGGCTCCTCTAGAAAGAGGTTATGGGAGGGCAGCCTGTAGGCCTAGTTCGGTCTGCTGGTAGGATTTAAAAACGTTAAAATGAGTTGTCACATTTAAGAAATCAGAAACTGTCACAGTAATTCTGGTTTCTCTTTAAAGCCAGGCATCCTGGCCATGCTGGGCCTGCAGTGGAGTTGAGCAGCAGCCGCCCCCACCGCCACCACCACCACCACTTGGGAGGGTGGCTCTCCGGTGCACCCACACCACCACCACCTCACCACTTGTTATGTTCCTGGCTGGGCCCTGCGGGGTTTCAAACTCAATTTCAGCCCAACAGTTTTCAATAAGTCTTTAGCAGTAGAAGTCCTTAGAACAGAACCTTTAAACTTCAGTCCAATATAAAAATAGGCCAAGGTGGAACAGCTTTGGTTGGATGGGGACAGGGGCTGGGGTCCTCCTGCCCACCCTCCCAGCAGGGGTCTCTGAGGCCTAGTCATAGAGTACAGATTGAAAGTCACTAATGGCCGGCCAAGTGGCTCAGTTGGTTAAGAGTTCGCTCAAGAGTGTCAGCTCTGAGCAACAGGGTCGCCGGTTTGATTCGTGGCCTGAGCTGAGCTGCTGCTGAGCTGCCAACAGGTGGCAGGATGGCTCAGCTAAAAAAAAAAAAAAAAAGCAAAAGTCACTAATGTAGGAGCCCCAAATCCCTATGAAGGTTCATTCTCCACCGAGAGGACATCCTTGCTTTCATCCTTCCAGAAAAGGGGCACTGACTACCCTAGAGCAGTCTAGCCCACCCCTGGTCTCTGCTTTTCATGACACCTCTCTTCTTCTCTTGGGGACATAGGCTCACATGCTCCCCTTGCACTAGGGACAGGAATGGAGCCCCTGGAGGCCATGCTTCCCCAGGCTAAGCTGCCCTCTTCTGCCCACTCCTCCTGGCTCACAGCCCTTCCAGCCCATGGCAGCCCTCAGGCCCTCAGCCTTGTACCTTCAGCTCGTTGAGATAGCGTCTCGTGTGCACCACCAGCAGGTCCTCGTCTGAGGCCTCCCGTGCCTCCACCAGCATGCTGTCTGACACAAGCTTCTCTTCTGAAACCATAAATTGGGCGCCATGTTTTCCTGCTGGGAAGCCAAGCCCAGCCCCAGGCCCTCCCCCAGGCTGCAGACTTGGCTTCTGTCAGCCCTGCCCTAGGTCAAGGTAGGCACAGCTGCTGGCTTACAAGCACCCTGAGAACAGGCCACCTCCCAGGCCAGTGTGGACAATGGTCAGGCCCTCAGGCTAGGGGATATCAAATATTGTGTATACAGCGATCCTTGTGTTTCCCAAGCTGCTGATAGCCATGAGGTGAGCTCAGATATAACTGGACAGCTCATAGAGGGAGGTGACCCACTGGTCAATGATGCTGACTATCAAGGTGAGAAAAGCTCTTTGATCAATTCTCCCTCCACCTTCTGATGACATCGTGGGAGGCTCAGTGTGGTGTGGCCTCTCTTTAACACCGACCTGACCCTTGCTCATCTCTGTTTTGAATCCTAAAAGCAGTCCCACAGCCTGCAGTAACAGTAAGCAGACTGCATTAAATTACACACTTGTTTTCATTGCACTGATATTTTACCATGACTTTCTACTTATGGCAAGTGAAACTGGCTTTTCCCATCTAGGTGACATAATGTTTCATTTTAAAACTTTACTTACATTTTTAAAAACGAAGGAAAGTCAATAAATAATATGAAGTAAACAATGGAACAAGTGGTATGAAGAGATGGCCAAGTCCCCAGATTGGTTTCCAAATGACTATTGTTTAGGAAACACTGCATTATTTCATCACGCCACACATACACCAGACAAAACTCGTTCCATTTCGCAAAAGAAGAAACTGAGGCCGAGATTGGGACATGCTCTACAGCACAGGGCAAACAGGCCCATTATACTCTGAGTTTTAGGGAAATACAAGGGACAAGGTCAGAATCTAGGGGATCTGTTTTAATGTGTCACCCTTAGAAACCAACCCTTGTACAAACCAACTATTTCCATACATTTCGCACATATGAGTATAGCTCCACAAACGGCAGGTACTCCCCCAACTTCACCCCAGAACATTCCATATCTCCCCACTGCCTTCAGGCAAAGGGCCAGCTCATTTCTTGGAGGCACCCAAGGCCCTTCACCATGTGGCCCCTGCCTCCTTTCCACCATGTCCTCAGAGAAAGGAGGGAACTCTGGAGGCCTGTTGGCTCTGAGATGAGTGGGATAAGAAATCCTTCTGTTGAGCTACTGGGTGACACAGGAGCCCAAGGCCAGGCAACAGGACGGGGGACTCAGACTGAAAACAGAGCATGAAGGACCCTATTCAGGGAGGCAAGAGAGCTGCAAGGTGAGAGGCAGCTGGCTCTGCTCACCTTGTCAGAGTTCTTGTCATTGCTACACACCACTAGTATTCTTTTCTACTTAACATTTTTCTTTGACTACCCAGTCTGGTCGCTACTGCTAATGGAATATCAGTATTACTTGCCATGAAGAGAAGTTAACCAGAAATAAAAAACAAATACAATAGAAACAAGTGTTATTAATCTCTAATTTGATTCTATTTTCTGCAAGGTACAGCATCTGAGGCTTGCTCTGGATTTGTTAAAAAGGGAGATGGGCTTAGGTGTTAAAGATGGGCTAGCCCCAGAGTGACACTTTCTCCATGGTGTGATCAAAAGGGCTGGGTGATTTAAAGATATTCAGTGTCATCCTATGCTAGGTCACACTTCAGGTAATATTTCTTACTTCCCTCACTTAGAGAACTCTTGATACAGGGAACAAGGAAAATGTTCTCACACTAGCCTACTGTTATGCCTGAATTTCCCCACCTAAACTAGACCCCTGGAGAAATATCTTGCTCAGTGGGATGAGCCATGAAGAGTAGGAGCCTGGAGCTCTGAATTCCAGACCCCTCTCTGCCACTTAGTAGCTAGGTGTCTTCGGGCATGTTTCCTAATCTTTCTGGGCCCCAGTTTCCTCCATTTGTAATCAGTGGGGCTGGAGCGAAGACTCTCTTCCTCTTGGACCTTCTGAGTTTGTGAGGGATGGACACTGGATTCCTTCAAACTTCAGCTTCCTGTGTCCATCCATCTTAATCAGTTCCCCTCTACTGAGCCTCCAGGGGAAGACATAGGACTTAGGTCCACAGCGATGGGGAACCAGGGAAGGTCTGAGACAGGGACATGCCATGCTTAGAAGTTTGTGTTGGAAAGATCCTTTTGATAGCATGCGTGGAAGGAGTCTGAGGGCTGAGGCTGGAGGTAGGAGAGAGTCCGAAGTTTGTGTTAGGGAAAGGCAGTGGGGGTGGGGGTGGGGTGGAAGAAGCAGATGTAGGGTCCAGGTGGGGCCTTCCATACCTTTTAGGAAGCTGATCACTTTGCCCCATTTTCCTGCGTCAAATGGGTGCAGCTTCTCCAGGCCCATGAAGGTTATGTTATAGCGGGGCGAGTACACGATGGGCCAGCGCGTCTCCGGCACATGCTGGTACAGCTGGGTTGTGTGTGGCCTTCCGTGTGCATAGGGACAAAATACACAGATAGGGACGGACTCAGTGTGGGAAGCAGCCTCCCGCTCGGGGCCAGCAGGCTTTGATCGACCAGAAAGCCATGACCTGGTACCAGTACCTCCCTCAGCCACAGAAAAAGGGCCACTTAACAACAGCAACAATAACAGCGGATCCCTACCGAGCATTGGCTTTTCCCCTGCACTATCCAGCCCAATTCTCATAGTCCTGGGAGGTAGGCACCACCATCTCACCAAAAGCTTGGAGAGGGGACCAGGTGTGCCCAAGGTCACACAGAGGGTCCGTGGAGCAGCGGATATACACCCAGGTGTGCTGGATGCAAGGCCTCAGCACCTAACTTCCACATTATAACAATTACAGCGAACAGCCTTGTGGCCCTAGGCCTCAGTTTCCTTAATTATAAAATGTGTGGTTGTTGCGAGGATTGAGGGCAGAAAGCGCCCTGTGCCTGAGAGCTGGGTTCCCAGATGTAGGGGCTCGCGCAGGCTGTGGCCCAACCCATAGACTAAGACAGGGTCAACTCGGGCCCGCTGCGCAGCTTACTCCCCACCCCACCCCATTACACCTCCGCAGCGGCTGCAGAGGAACCAGAAACACGGCTCCAGTTGCTGCCACTGCGGGGGCCTCCGCACAGCTGGTGCCTCCGCACAGCTGGTGCGGCCCGAGGGAAGACGTCAGACCCGCGCATTTCGCGAGTCCCTGCCTGGGTCCGGGCCTTGCGGTGGCCTCCCGTCCTTTCGGCCGCAGAGAAATGGCGCGGGGCTGGCCCCGCGCGCAGGGCCGACCTGGGAGCACCAAGCTCCAGCGTCCCCTCGCCCGCCATACCTGGGCCAGCACCTGGCCGGCCCGCCCACCGCCCGCGCACTCGTGCGCCCGCCCACGGAAACCCCTGAAAGCCCTGGGGGGAGGGGGTGGCCCGGCGTCCCCACCCCCGCCAAACTCACATGCCGGGGCCAGGCTCTCCCAGCGCTGGCCACCACTCCACGACCGGGAGGGGCGGGGGCAAGGCCCCGCCCAGGACACGCCTCCGGCCTCGGCTGCCTCCCCTGGGGTGGAGCTCCCTCAGGCTCGGCTCCGCCCCGCCCGCGCCTGCGCCTGCGTCACAGAAGAGTCGAGTCCCACGCTGTGAGCTCCCGCAGGAAGGAGGCCACGCCCTCAACGCCCATCAAACGCGAAGTCCCGCCTTCCGCAGACAAATACCCAGAGGATTCTCTCCTGGCTGGGAAAGCCACACTCATTAGGGGGAGGGCCGCACGAGTTTTCACTACAGAGCGTCAGAGTTGGAACGTGCGGCCTCGCCCCACCCCAAGGGTGGGTCCACCCTATGCCCCACCCCCGGTCGCCCAGCCTGCACGAGCTCTAGCTGGCTGACTCTGAGGTGGTCAGTGTGTGACCCTGTGCAAGCGTCTGCGCTCGGAGGTCTCTGTTACCACAAATAACATGAGAGGATGGAGGCCGTGTGCTCTGGCCTTAACATCTCTGACCTAATGTGGTCCATGAGCTCTCTGATTTGAGGCCACATGCGCCCCCCTTCCGGAGTGAAGCCCCCAGCTCCATCTTTGGGAACTCGCGTGAGACAGGCTCTCCCCACACAAGCCATTTAAGCTCTGTGAGCCGCAGTTTCCTCCTCAGTAGAACAGGATTGGTGACCCGATCTTCAGGACACAGGTATCTATGCACACTCCCTCATCCCCCTCCCCCACCCTGGGAAGCCAAGACTACCACCAGCGACAGCTGATAGTTTCTTGGGGCTAAACCCTGGGAGGAGGACCGAACAACAGAGCCCCAGAGGACAGAAACAATGGATCTCTCTGTGGAACCAGCTGTCCCTGCCAACCAAGCAGAAGCAGCTGACCCCAAGGCTGCCAAGAACAGGGCAGCTGGGATCCCTGGTGGCTCCACTGGGTCATCGGTGTGACAGGGTGGGGCACCAGGAAGGGGAAGGTCACAGACATTTGAACAGTACCCTCCAAGTCCCTGTCACTTGATTGCATGATGGCACTGGATTCTCACAACCCAATCCTGTAAGGGGGTGCTATCATCACCCCAATTTTATTATGAGCTAACTGAGGTTCAGGTGTGGATTAAACCCAGACTTGGCTACCTACCAGTGCAGTGGCCTTGGGCAACTTGCTTCAGCTCTCGGGACCTTCATTTCTGCATCTGAAAATGAGATGACACCTGCCCATCTACTTCATGGGGAAGTTGAGAGAATCAAAAAAGTTAGTAATGCTGATTATTATTTAAAGAGCACTTTATTTAGAGAAAACTGTTGTTTTCAATTCTGAAAGCTTTATGTTCATTTAATCCTTATAGAACCCTAGGAAGCGATCTATGATTATCTCCATTTTACGGATGTAGAAACTGAGGCACACACTGAAGTAATTTGCCCAAAGATCAGGGATGTTGACAGATGTAAACTATTGCCACAGAAAGAAAAAGGTGATATTAAATAATAAACATAAGCAAGAAAGTACATACAGTGACCCTATGTCATTGGGACAGCCAACTTCATCTCAGGGAACTTGCCCTATGATTTGGGAAGCCACAAAAACGAGCCTCTTTTTGGGAGAACGAGGGATTGCGGAGCTGAGGCCAAAGAGAGTGGGATTGCTCCAGGTAAAAGGGTTTTTAAGTTGTATCTGGTGTGGCTGAGGAGGAAGGTGTTCTGGGGAGTCCTAGGGTCTTGGAATACCTTCAAACCACCATGCCAGCCTGGACCACCTACCCGTACTATAACCTGTAGGAGAAATAAACTGTTATTCATGCTGTGTTGGGGGTCTTTTTGTTACAGAATCCTAGCATGTCTGCTCACTAAGACACTGTGCTGGGACATAGCAGTGAACCCCACGGGCAAGATCCAAAAGCCTTTGTCAAGTTCACAGTTTAGTAGGAGAAACAAATCTTAAACTAGAATACAATCATAATTACAAAATGTGGTTAAGTGCTGTGAAAGTCACAAGGTGAGGTAAGACAGAATGATGAGACCCCCCTGATTTAGGCCCCTTTCAAGAGATGATTGTTTTTCACTTTTAAAATATCTTATTTTTTAATTTTTTTTTTTTAAAGATTTTTATTGGGCAATTGGGAGGATGGGAACAGCGCTGGGGAATTGGGGGAAGGGGAACAGACAAGCTGCTGTTCTTTTGTTCTTCAGTCTAGTTGTGGAGGACGTCGCTTCACTGGCCCAAGTTGGCACCATCATTGCACTCTTCCCGGGTGAG